ACTAGCTAATCCAGCAAAAAAAATTTACTAAAATCTCATAGTTAAATAGAAACAGAGGCGTTTAACTGCAAAAAGTTCCACTTTTTGGGAAAAAAAACCCACCCCTTTCACCAGGCTGGCTACGGGCCTGAGATATAAAGGGCACCTTTAGTGAAAACTCTATTTTTCAAGCTGTTTAGACAGACATGTGTGTATATATAGTGTATAGACCGTCATATTGGGGTGATATAAACCCACACAGTCCTTTTTTCAATTTAACAACATAAAAACGGTGGACCAATGGGAGCGGTTTTCATAGTGCCCTTAACTTGACGTAGCAGTGCGGTCCCCCCCCCCACCAATATTGATTGACAGGCGCATCACCATATCCTCAGCTTGTCATTTCACGTCCTTTTTCAGCGTGTGAATCAAAGCGTTATCACTAAAGGAACATCCTTGCTCTAGTTTTAGATGTAAGGCTCATTGAGCTCAACACAAGACCAACATTCACCACATGATCCCTCTAATCAGAATTATTGTTTGAAAGTTCGTTTGTTTGTCGGTAGGTTTGCAAACATGTGTACTTTTCATTGCGTCTACCTTAAACTTCAGCCATTTTTTCTCGCGGTCACAGAAGCTCCCTGTGATCTTAACTAGGTGCACCTGGAAAGTGCGAGCTTTGTGTCAGGGTACACACAACGGTGCTTCCAGCCGGGGACTTATCTGCAGCGCCCAGCCACGATTCGGGACACTTCATGTCTGCCGCGCCACTGAGCGCCATCTGAATAGTTTCATTTTAAATAGCTTGCGAATGTGCGTGTCTGGTGTGCCATATCGCGGCTCTGAGCGGCGCATCTGGTGCCTCATTCAAAGTTAATTCAGTGTGCGTGGTTATTAGTCTCGGTGTACAAGCTTGGAACTTTAAACTAGCACACAGTTGGCTGTTAAACTACACAAAGACACAAATGATTGTGTACTCTCTGCTTGGTCTGTGTCTGAGTCGTATATGTACGGCTGAATGCTGGTCCTCTCACTCATGTTGCTTCTCTCTGTCTGCCTGTCTGTTGCCAAACACAGAGTGGGGGAGCTCTTGGCTCCGCCCCCTTTTATATTGGGCGGGAAGTCAAAACTCATTTTCATGTGAAGCAACACGCCCCTAAAACAGCGAGCTGTGTACACGCCCACAACATGACACTTTTGAACACATTATAATAAAAAAATCTGAACTTTGTTGTGAACTGAACCGAAACTGGCACACTCAGAACCATAATATTAATATTAAATCATAAAAAGGGGTAAACTATGTGCCCCTTTAATACTGAAGAGGTTTAGTTCTGAAGCATTTTTAGCATCGATCTAAAGCAAAACCACACCGAATTTGTTAAACATTCTCTTTAATAACCACAATCCTCCTCCTACAAAACATTAAGCAGCAGTTTCACAAAGAAGTGCGAGATTTGCTCCCCGAGTTTGTTTCAGAACGAGTTGCACAACTGTAGTTCTTACTGAAAGCTCACACTTTATGTAACAGGGCTTTGGTGACATCAGCAAAACAGTCCATACATAAACCGCCCATTATATTACCAGATCATTACAGTGTGTGAAGGTTTCGTGTCACGACCGGTCCACAGGCATCTGTAGTATATTTGACTTAACATCTTCTCCCAGCAGAGCTAATTGAGGAATTTGACGAATGACCTCAGGAATGCGAAGCTGTGCCTTCAAAAGTCTTTAGAAGCATACAGGCCTGTACTTTTTTATGGCTTTACTGTTAAAAATGCTGGATTCCACACAATCCGTTTATTAGGAATTGAGTGAACTTATTAGTTTTTACAAATTTAAATAGATCGAACATAAAATAATTAAGTTGTCTCCAAAAATGCTCAATAATTGTGCTGTCGGGATGGTAAACACCAGATTTAAAGGGATAGTTCATCCGAAAAAATTAAGCTTCCATCATTTATTGGGTTTATTTATTTTGTTTATTCGTCCCAACATAAATCGTTTAAGTTAACCTAACAAATTTAAGTTAACTGAACCTAAAAAAACAAGTTTCCCAAAAGAAACTGTGTCGTAAATAAGTAGTTTAATCAAGCAGCAAAAATATTTTGTGTTCACTCAGAATAAAAATAAAGAAGATAGTTTGAAGAATGTTACTGACTTCTATTTTCCTCCTACTATGGAAGTTTGGGCATTTTTCAAACTATCTTCTTTAGTGTTCAATAGAAGAAAGTCAAAACGATGAAATAATTAAATTTTTGGAGTGAACAATCCCTTTAAACGTGAGTAAAAATCTCATAACCATGGAGTAACCATAGTAAAGATGAACAATTTGCTCTTTGCGACCTCATTTAGTTTCACTTGGCCTTGCCAGCGAATTCCTGTCTCGATCAAACAACATCTCTGAAGTAATGACAAGCATGTCTTTACATTTCACTTGGGAGATTTAACAAGGTAAACAGTTCAGTAAATCAAACATTCCCTTCCTCTTTCTTGCCGAAGGCATTTGAACCATTGGTGAGCAAAGAATCACGGAGTTAGGTTTGATGCGCGCTGCCAAAAGCTGGAGAGAAACCTGAGTTTTCAGACTGCTGGAGCGAAGCGCTGATGTTCTTCTGATCTAGAGCATTGACAGATAGTCTTGTGAGCAGACCTGCAGGGTTTTTACAGCCTGTGCGACCCACATCTCTAACAGAAGACCACCACAGACGGCTAGCAGAGACAGACGCCGACTGCAGTTCAGAATCACTGGAACATGGAAAACACACAGTAACAGAGGTCACCATACAGGGAACGTGTTAATTTAAATCCAGAAGTGTTAAGTTTTAAACGAATACTCTAGGTATTCACTTGGTTTATTCTGGATTTTGAAAAACTATTTAATTTAAAAGGTTTTGGATAACTGCTCTGACATCCTTGTACATCAAATAGATCTCACAACATTTGTAGAAAACAACAACAACAACAGGTGTTTAAAGTCTGCATGAATCAAATTCCACTTTTGCTTAAATTTTTAAGTTAAGTTATTTATTTTAAAGGAAGACTTCTCTAGTTTTTAAACATAGGCTCACTTTACAAGTCAACTAGAGTTAACCAGTAGAGTTTTACCATTTTTTAATCCATTCAGCCGATCTCTGGGTCTGGCGTGAGCCTTTTTAGCTTAGCTTAGCATAAATCACTGAATTGGATTAGACCATTAGCATCTAATCTTTAAAAACTCAAATAAAAGAGTGTTTTGAAGATATTTATATTAAAAACTTGACTGTTTTGTTGCTATACATTGCAAGACTGACGGATAATGAAAAAGTAGCCATTTTCCAATATAGAACCATCCTCTCATTTTGGCGTAATAATCTAGAAACTTTGCTGCTGTACCATGATGCATCGTTTTTTTTTTTGTTTTTTTTTAATTCACTTACACATTTGGGAAAGTACAAAGTTTTCTTGATACACAAAACATATTTTAGAAAGTCTAAGGTTTTGCAGTTTTTAAAAATGCAATCTGAGTATTCACTTGGTTAATTCTGGTTTTAAAAAACTATTTTAATAAAAAAAGTTTTTGATAACTTTTGGACAACTTTGGAAATTAACAAATTCAAAATATAAGATATTTATTTTAAAGTAACACTTCTCTAGTTTTTAAACATAGGCTCACTTTACAAGTCAAGTAGAGTAAACCAGTAGAGTTTTATCATTTTTTAATTCATTCAGCCGATCTCTGGGTCTGGCGTGAGCCCTTTTAGCTTAGCTTAGCATAGATAATTGAATAGGATTAGACCATTAGCATCTCATTTTTATAAAAAAACAAAAAAAAAAAGTGTTTTGATAATATTTATATTTAAAACTTGACTGCAAGACTGAAGAATAATGAAAAAATGCCATTTTCCGGTATAGGAACCATCCTCTCATTTTAGTGTAACAATCAAGGAACTTTGCTGATGTACCATGACACGTCGTTTTTACATTTTTTTATTAACTTATATGTTTGGGAAAATACAAAGTGTTTATGATAGATGAAATGTGTCTTAGAAAGTCTAAAGTTTTGCAGTGTCAAGTTTCTAAAAATGCAGTCTTTGTATTCACTTGGTTTGATAAGGCTTTGAAAAACTTTTCTGATATAGGAACCATACTCGCATTTTGACGAAATAATCTAGGAACTTTGCTCCTGTACCATAGCGCATCACTTTATTTTAGTTTTTTTATTTAAAAAATTCAAAGTGTTGATGATACAGGAAATGTGTTTTAGAAAGTGTAAAGTTTTGTAGTGTCAAGACATCCTTGTACCTCAAATACATATTTAAAAAACAAAATAACAAAAAAAAAAAAAAAAAAAAAAAAGGGAAACTTCACTAGTTTTTGGATATAGACTCACTTTACAAATCAACTAGAGTTACCCAGTAGAGTTTTACCATTTTTGAAACCATAAGGCCAATCACTGTGTCTGACGGAAGCCTTTTTAGCTTAGCTTAGCTTAGCTTAGCATAGATCATTGAATCAGATTAGACCATTAGCATCTCACTTTTAAAAAAAAACTCTAAAAAAGTTGATAATATATCTATTTAAAGCTTGACTGTTCTGTAGTTACATCGTGTACAAAGATCAATAGAAAAAGTAGCTATTTTCCGATGTTGCCCTTATTCTGTGATGCAGAGATGCGCTCATTTTTGCGATTGTTTTAGAACTTCTGTTTCAGTCGTCTATGGGAGAAATTACTAGGAATAATAAACATCAGAAAAGAATCAAACAACTTGCTCTATAAACAAGTGACTATACATAAAAAGTAGAATAATATAATTAATATTATAACGTGGCTAATGAGATCGCAAGTCTCAAGCCAAGAAGATTCCAATGGCTGCGTCCGATCAAAAATTGAAGAACAAGGGCAATAGGAACTGTACTCTCATTCTGGCGTAATAGGGAACTTTGCTACTGTACCATGGCGCATTGATTTTTATTTATATTCTTAAACTTAGCATACATTTGGTACCCACATACTGCTCCTTTTATTATCGCTACAACAGCGTTGGTGAAACATCTGCTCAAATGACAGGAACTGCAGTAATGTAGCTCCAGGTGGAGGGCCTTACGCAAACAACAGCCCACTCCAAACAATACAGCCCTCTGTGTGAATGTGCATGTGTGGGAAACAGACACGTGTTTACTTTGGATCAGAGAGTACGATGTGTTTTCACCGAGGGTGTTTATGCGAAAGAAAGAGCATATGCAGCGATATTATTTAAAAGCTGCAGTCCATAACTTTTTTGGGGGGGTTAAAAGTTACCCAAAATTATTTCTGGAGTGAATACATAACCAGGCAGTGTTCAAAATGATCTCCTTTCTTTAGCCTGATTCACAACTGTATGCTTTTAGACCCCGCAGTCCAAAGAGTTGCGCTTTAGGTAAATTGGGGAAGCTGAATTGTCAGTAGTGCATGTGTGTAAATGAGTGCGTATGGATGTTTCCCAATGATGCGTTGCAGCTGGAAGGGCATGCGCTGCGTAAAACATATGCTGGATAAGTTGGCGGTTCATTCCGCTGTGGTGACCCCAGATTAATAAAGAGACTGCAAGACCCAGCGGCTTGTACACAAGACGCAACAGACTGCCTTTTGTTTGAAAGAGCAATGCGCTGTGCTTTTTATGTTACTAGGCAACCACTGTATCAACTGTCTTTGTGCTGGAGCGCAAGACATCAGGATTCGCAAGGTTTGTAGTTCATTCATATAAAAGACTAGCAGCAATGCTCACTCAGTGTATTACACTCAATTTCTGTATATCTGGATGGAAAACAATGCATCTGCAAAGCTCGCAACATACATTACCTTCTATGCTAGTATATTTCCATCCCTACAGCTTTATATTCTGTTTCAACGGTCAAGAAGAAGGCGGAATGTTAGCCAAAGATGTACAGGTACAGTGTAAATATGTATATTAGTACAGTTTTTATTTAATTTATATACTGCAACATCCAGGGGCTTGTACACAAGACGCAACAGACTGCCCTTTGTTTGAAACAGCAATGCGCTGTGCTTTTTATGTTACTAGGCAACCACTGTATCAACTGTCTTTGTGCTGGAGTGCATGACATCAGGGTTCGCAAGGTTTGTAGTTCATTCATATAGAAGACTAACGGCAATGCTCACTCAGTGTATTACACTCAATTTCTGTATGTATGGATGGAAAACGATGCATTTGCAAAGCTCGCAACATACATTAGCTTCTATGCTAGTAAATTTCTATCCCTACAGCTTTATATTCTGTTTCAACTGTCAAGAAGGCGGAGTGTTAGCCAAAGATGTACAGGTACAGTGTAAATATGTATATTAGTACAGTTTTTATTTAATTTATATACTGCAACATCCAGGGGCTTGTACACAAGACGCAACAGACTGCCCTTTGTTTGAAACAGCAATGCGCTGTGCTTTTTATGTTACTAGGCAACCACTGTATCAACTGTCTTTGTGCTGGAGTGCATGACATCAGGATTCGCAAGGTTTGTAGTTCATTCATATAGAAGACTAGTGGCAATGCTCACTCAGTGTATTACACTCAATTTCTGTATATCTGGATGGAAAACAATGCATCTGCAAAGCTCGCAACATACATTACCTTCTATGCTAGTATATTTCCATCCCTACAGCTTTATATTCTGTTTCAACGGTCAAGAAGGCGGAGTGTTAGCCAAAGATGTACAGGTACACTGTAAATATGTATATTAGTACAGTTTATATTTAATTTATATACTGCAACATCCAGGGGCTTGTACACAAGACGCAACACACTGCCTTTTGTTTGAAACAGCAATGCGCTGTGCTTTTAATGTTACTAGGCAACCACTGTATCAACTGTCTTTGTGCTGGAGCGAATGACATCAGGGTTCGCAAGGTTTGTAGTTCATTCATATGGAAGACTAGCGGCAATGCTCACTCAGTGCATTACACTCAATTTCTGTATGTATGGATGGAAAACGATGCATTTGCAAAGCTCGCAACATACATTAGCTTCTATGCTAGTAAATTTCTATCCCTACCGCTTTATATTCTGTTTCAACGGTCAAGAAGAAGGCGAAGTGTTAGCCAAAGATGTAGAGGTACAGTGTAAATACGTATATTATTGCAGTTTATATTTAGTTTATATATTGTGACACCCAGAGGCTTGTACACAAGACACAACACACTGCCTTTTGTTTGAAAGAGCAATGCGCTGTGCTTTTTATGTTACTAGGCAACCACTGTATCAACTGTCTTTGTGCTGGAGCGCATGACATCAGGATTCGCAAGGTTTGTAGTTCATTCATACGGAAGACTAGCGGCAATGCTCACTCAGTGCATTACACTTAATTTCTGTATGTATGGATGGAAAATTGATGCATTAGCAAAGCACGCAACATTCATTAGCTTCTATGCTAGTAAATTTCTATGCCTACGCTTTCTTATTCTGTTTCAACGGCCAAGGGGAAGGTGAAGTTTTAGCCAAAGACGTAGAGTATGAGACACATGTATATAGATGTACAGTATAATATAGAATTGGGGTTGTGCCTTAATGTGTGGATTGTAAAAGAGCGGGTGTTTGAGGATATTCACCTCGTATGGCTTGTGAATTGGAGGTGAGAACGAAGAGTCGTATGAGGCTGAAGCAGAGCGGGGAGAAATCATGCTCCCAGATCACCGCTGGAATCAGCAGCACTTTGCCAAAGCTGGACAGCAGAAGAGCCTTCAGAAGAGGAGCGAACTGTAAAGACGCGCCAGAGAAACACTGCGCCATCCAGAGAATCACCAGCACCCCGATGAAGAACACAGTCAGCTCTGGAAACATAAGGCAAGGCAGGTTTATTGATATAGCACATTTCATACACAACGGTAATACAAAGTGTAATAAAAGAAACAAGTATAAGAAAACAACAAAAAATATAAGTTATTAAAAACAGATAAAACTGATTCAAATGTGTTAATACAGGTTATAAATACCTGCTGTTAGCAAAACCAATGCCATAGGACGTTATTATATTAGCCTATCAAATAAGAGTGACTGTAGAGTGCAAAATATAATACATTTATATGTTAGTTAAAATCAAATACACATTAGAAAGCATTAGAACAGGCTCTGGGATCATTGAGATCATGGATGAAGATGATGTTCACTACAGCAAATAAAATAAAAGTTTGGTTTAACTTGAGCAAATTATAGCACACATATTACATAATATTATAGGAAACAAATTGCACACAATATATTATATTTATTGGTTGTCTGAACAGAGATAACATTGAAAGAAAAAATCTACAATTTGCTATATATTTATATTTAATTCTATTAGTTGACAAAATGCTTTTATAACTAATTTAATTTATACACTGTTTTGATATTTTTAAATTTCCCTTGTAGTAAAATATAATATAATATAATATAATATAATATAATACAATAATATAATATAATATAATATAATATAATATAATATAATATAATATAATATAATATAATATAATATAATTAATATAATATAATATAATATAATATAATATAATATATGATAAAGTATAATATAGTATAATATAATATAATATAACATAATATAATATAATATAGTATAATATGATAAAGTTTAATATAATATAGTGTATAATTTAGTATAATATAATATAGTATAATATAATATGATAAAGTATAATATAATATAATATAATATATTTTAGTATAATATAATTAATCTAATTTAGTATAATATAATATAGTATAATATAATATAGTATAGTATAATATAATATGATAAAGTATAATTTAATATAATATAATATAATATAATATAATATAATATAATATAATATAATATAATATAATATAATATAGTATAATATGATAAAGTTTAATATAATATAGTGTATAATTTAGTATAATATAATATAGTATAATATAATATGATAAAGTATAATATAATATAATATAATATATTTTAGTATAATATAATTAATCTAATTTAGTATAATATAATATAGTATAATATAATATAGTATAGTATAATATAATATGATAAAGTATAATTTAATATAATATAATATAATATAATATAATATAATATAATATAATATAATATAATATAATATAATATAATATAATATAATAATGGATAAGTTTTCAGTTCATTCCACTGTGGCGACCCCGGATCAATAAAGGGACTAAGCTGACAAGAAAATGAATGAATAATAGAATAGAATTGAATTGAATAGAATTACCCTTTTAATATAATACAATATAATGTAATGTAATATAATATAATATAATGTAATATAATATAATTGACATGTACCTGCAAAGCTCCTATAGTCAGTTAATTGTCTGTTAAAGGAGCAGTATCAATGGATATTAAGTAGACTGTCTACTAATACTCAAATAAAACATCAAAATACAGTGTTACCAATATTAATAATAATCATAATAATAACAACATATAAACTACCAACAAATATAAAAAAATAATTGAACAAACAAACAATAAATAAAATAATTAAAAATTAAAATGTTTAAGTTAAATGTTTATTTTTTTATAAGCTGTGTAATATCCTCATTAATCAAGAAAAATTGCGTAATGTAAAAAAATAATAATACATATTTTTAAATTCATCAAGATTTTTCCCCAGAACCGTGCGTTCATTAATTAAATAAAAATAAAGAGAATGACTGACAGACATAAATCCAGCGAAATCTGTTTTAACTAAATGCTGTTCTATTACATTAGTCAAAGAATCTTGAAAAATGTGATCATTAAAACACATATTATAAAGCTCCTTGAGATGTAAATAATCATATTACTAAAATTTCTGAAGAATCATGTGACACTGAAAACTCCAGTAATAATGCTGACTAATAAACACTAGAACCACAAACCCATAAATCTGTCATCATGCCTTTAAAAAACACCTATACACTACACTGCTAATCACCTCAACATCTCCATTGTGTCAGTGACAATGACTGTAAAAAATATGGACGACGCGACAGCCCCTTTTCCCATTGAACGCCTTGAGGGCAAAACGTTTGCTTGACGGGCACAAACTGTCGCAAAAGACTGCTGAAATTGGAGCCTTGACATGCGCAGAAGGACTGTCTGATGGAGCCAGAGGAGGAGCCGCGAAAGTGAGCAGAGTCGAGCTTCCAACCAAACGCTTTATGTAAAATCAACCACGCCCCCCGAACTTCTCAGCATGCGTTTGCTGTCATATCAACACAAATGGATGTAATAACGTTAACAAATATGAGGGTTTTATATATCCAATCGCGCCAGCTCCGGGCCGCAGCGCATAACCTACTCGCGGCGTCGCGGGCTGATTCCGGCTCGCATGCGGCAGCGCCGGCTCGCTCGGCCGCCCCATCTGGCTCAATTGACTCGGGCTGGAATCGGGCAGTGAGTCCAGGCATCCGGAGTAGGTCCAGCAGAGGTAGTCAGTCTGAGCTCTGAGGGGTAAGTCTCCGGCTGGAATCTAGCCGGAACTGGACCGAGTGTATTTTGCTATCTGGGTGGTTAGGCGTGTATCAGCAAACTAATAAAGCCCGAAAAAAGCCCTGACCTTAGCGAATAAACAGTGTTCCACCAGGATCATGTATGTCAGAAACTATAGTTTACTGCTGAACTCATTTTGTCATGGTAAAATAACACAGAAATCGAATAATAACACTTCAGTCTCCTGCTGAAGCTCAGACGCGCTGCTTTGAGAAACTGTAAATCACAGCTGTCAATCACGATGACACGCCCAGCATTAAATTACTGCTAAAAACAAACTGTTTACAGAAATGAAGATCTGCACCTATTTCAGCACAATAACCAGTGCCTTAATCGACCAGAACTATCTTTCGGGACATTTTATTGCAAGTGTAATTAATTTTTTTATTTGGGCTCAAGTCTACTTCATTAACACGGAGGAGGCGGGCTTTATGACTTGTACTGCAGCCAGCCCCCAGGGGGCGATCTAACGGCCGAGACCTTCACTCAAACGCAGGCTTGCGGCACACTTGGTCAGTGAGTGACTGGACTAAAAACAAAACTTACCCAGAGCCGCCAGAGCAAACATGCAGTAAAACTCCCATTCTTTGGTGTAGCGGATGATATCGGCGGGGTCACTGCTGGACTGAGAGCCCTGCAGGAGAGACCAGCGCAGATACGCTTCACACAGCAGACAGAACACACACAGCTTCCAGTGGATCTACAGAAACAGAGAGTGATAGAACAGAACACAGGCTGTCCACACAATACAAGACTATGGCTGCGTCCGAAATCGCCTACCACTCGAGTATGTACTACATTTGTATTCACTACGCCGCCGTTAGAAATGTATGTTCCATATCAGGGATCACCAAACTTGTGCACCAAACCGTAGTGTATGTGAGTGAATGAGTGTATGTGTGGGTGTTTCTCAGTACTGTGTTGCGGCTGGAAGGGGATCAGCTGCGTAAAACATGCTGGAGTAGTTGGCGGTTCCTTCCGCTGTGGCAACCTCTGAAATAGAGACTAAGCTGAAGCAAAATTAATGAATAAAAATGAGTTTTACTCACATTAATCTCAGTGTTGAAGAGGATATGCCTAAACGCCTGGATTTTGCACAGAGTGGCATCTATCAGAATAATTACTGGATCATATTCGATGTATTTGTCCACTGGCTTCCTACAGGAACTCTGCAAAGAAAGAAAAACAAAAAAACAAACAGAATTCAGTTGAATTTGCAAACTACAAATGTATGTTTACTAAAATAAAATAATCTGTGCGTGTTACAGGGCTTCCTCCTATAAGGATGATCATACAGTATCTGGGGGTATGTGGCATACAAAAACTCCATTGTTTCAGTAAGAACAAACAAAAAAATGTAAGTATATCACATTTGCTTATTTATTTATTTATTTATTTTAATTAAAACCATTTGCTTTTAACATGGGTTTTGGATCTTTTGTATGCCACAGACCCCCAGATGCTGTATCACAGTGGTCACCAAACTTGTTCCTAGAGGGCCAGCGTCCTGCCGATTTTAGTTCCAACCCTAATCAAACACACCTGAACAAGCTAATTAAGGTTTTACTACGTAACATCCATGCAGGTGTTTTGAGGGAAGTTGGAGCTAAACCCTGCAGGGACACCGTATAAATTCCCAATATGAAATACAGATATTATACAAGCCTAAAATACAAGTCTAATATTGATTTGGAAAATATTTAATTTTTATTACTTTACATTTTTATACATTTCCTATTTATTATAGTTCATTATTTACTTTTTTATTCCTTGGTTTGATTATTTATTAATTAATTAGTTTATTTAACTTTTATTATTATTTCAACGACACAATGGCTTAGTGGTTAGCACTGTCACCTCACAGCAAGAAAGCTGCAAGTTCAAGTCCCGGCTGGGTCAGTTGGCATTTCTGTGTGGAGTTTGCATGCTCTTCCCGTGTTCACAGGAGTTTCCTTCGCATGCTCCGGTTTCCCCCACAGTCCAAAAACATGCGCTATAGGGGAATTGAATATATATATATATAT